TATTGAAAAAACAAAAGTTGTATCCAAGATGGCCGACTTCTAAATGGCCACCATGGTCACCACCCATCTTGAGGAGTTTGCCACCTCACATATACTAATGTGCCACAAACAGGACTTTAATATCACCAACCATTCCCATGTTATTATGGTGTATACATATAAATGCCCCACCCTGTAGTTTCACAGCAACATAGTCACATATTGCCTTTAGTTTAAGATTGTGTTGTTTATAATTGAAAATAGAATCAATTTACTCTATGTCTGTATTTACATGTAGAATGTCTCTGTTGTTTCTTTACATTTATTGCTTTAAATGTCCCTGAAATTGAAAATCTCATTACACAAAGTTGAAGTGTATTTTTTAGATACTGATTTCTTACTATGAGCATGTTTATGTGTAAAGGCATTGACATCACAGTTATCTCGCTTTTATTACTGCCAGGTGGTTTTCAAGTTCATTCTCTGAACTGGCATTGCAGTGGCAACTCCTTGATACTGCTTGGAAAGGACCAGCTGTGTTTGTGCTACATGGAAACTGATGAAGAAGACAAGTAAAGTACACAAAAAGAAAATAACTGGGTCATAGTTCAGTCTTATTTAGCTGTACACACAAGCTGAGTTAATGACCAGTGAGAACACTCCTGAACATGTTAGATTTGCATATGCTGGACTGTAGCTGTTCTTAAAAGTGTGGGCTACTGGAACATTGAAAGCGATTCCTACTGATAAATATGTACTCAGCACTAGTTGCAAACACTGTGAGAATGTGAAAGTTTACAATTTTCTATAGATTTCACTTAGTGCTAGAATTTCCTGTTTCACCTTGAAATTTTATATTTGTTCTAAATAAACTTTGTCATAAATATAGTTGCTTATGGGAGTTTTTTAAAAGTGTGTTCAGCCTTTAATAAATATGATTTGTTTTCGGTATATGTCATGTTACTGAAATCAGTAGCTGAGTTACAGTATCTTGATGAAATGTAGTCGCACTGTTGACATGAGCAAAGACATGAGACAGTTTTCTTTAGTTGGTAATTTTAAAGCAGTTCTTCATGACACAAGTTGCATTATCTTTAACCTGCAAATACCGCATCATTACTTGTAGCATGTAAAAGGCGTTACCCGCTATGACCAGACTGAAATGTCAGTAAGAAATCCAAACAGCAACAGGCAGTACTAAATATATCAGGACAGTATTTCTTGTCTTCAAGGCATCATCTTGCTCTAAAGCCACTTGAACTGTAACTTCAATCAGTCCTAGTAGTTTCAGTCCTCGACAGTACAAACGTAATCGTAAAGCAGTTCTATATCCACCCCAAGCCTCAGCCCTGACAAAAACATAGAGGCATTTTTAATTTTCCATAGTGGCTATTGTGCTACAGATATCTAAAACAAAAAACAAAACCTTCACGTGTTTGTAGAAACGAGTTAATATCCCTAAATAAAATACTTGAGAACTGTTAATGGTATATTTGTATTCTTAGATCACTTAAGTCAAATGCATTGAAAAAAAATGTATACAAACAAAACAATCAGTATTTACAGATTCACTTGGGACATTTCTTTAAAAAAACATCTGTCATGCAGACTGAACATGCAGGGAATATGCACGATTAAGGCCAGGAAAAAAAAAAGGCATTTTGGGATGTTTTCTGTTGGTATTGGCAATGCATGGGAGTATGTTCTGTAACCTTTGGCTGGACAATAATATCCACAACGCACACATTCTAGGAAGTTAATGTGCTTATGCAAAGCTTTATCTGCATCTGTGCCACTTTGTAACCCAACCCGCCCTCTGCACAGTTTAATACAGCTGAGTGCAAATATATGTCTAAAACAAATGCAAATTGCAGCACCATAATGGCAACTCACAGAACAAACATAAAGATTTACACGTTCACATTGCACATATTATTTCTGACATAAAAAGAACATTTTTGTTATTGTAGCTAATACAGCTCTGCAAATGGTAGCTCCCTGCTCTAAGCAAAGACATCATTTAGGTAAATATAAGCACTGAAAATAAAACACGGGTTAAATACAAGAGAGAGGATTTTGATATGTAATTCATCATTACTACTGAACAAGCCCATGCATTCTGCAAATCAGTACCAAAGCTGAGCCCAGGGCACAGCCTTGCAGATGCTATGCTCTCCTATCTAGTTTCCTTCCATATCTCGACATAAATGTATTTGAATAATTATGTGACACGGCGATCCTACTCAGTTCATCAGCTGCTTTTCCATTCCAAAAAGCTACTCTATGGCTCTGTGGTCCGAATAATGCAAACACAAACCATATCATGTAGCAAACGTGGACTCATCTTGGCCGATGATACGGTTTCACTGTTCTAAATATCACATTCATTTTGACAGTCTGTCATTTAGTGGTTGAACCAGAAACATGAGACTTCAAGAAGCTCAATATAAAGTATGTGCTGTGCCTTTTATCTCCCAACTCTTATAGCACGGCCACACACTCCTGAAGGTCGTGTGTGTGTGGAACTCTGACAGAAAGGGGGGACTAGGGGCACAAAAAAATGAATGAGTAGACAGTTGTTACAGTGCTGTGCATCATTTCCGTACAGTTGGCTGACCATTACACCGACTCAGGAAGGTGTGTGGGCATCTCATGGATTCTGCATACACGCACAGACATGTTACACATTACACTGCAGCTTCCCTCAGACAGTGTAGTTTAACACAGACACATGAGTTGAACTGTTGTAGTTTGGAGAAACGACTGAATTTAGAAGCCAATCTTGCCGCGTGTCATGGAGTAGCCCAACTTAGCCTCATTGTTAATGAAGGATATTATGCCTAGATATGTTTCAATAAGCAGGGGTCTTTCCAGGATCAGCACACCGTTAGCTCGACCTGGGATCGGGTGCTCCTTATGGGCTCTCTTCACTGCCTGCACGAGCTGGATTTTGAAGTTGTCCAACTTGGGAGGTAGAAGGAAAAAATATGAACCTATTAACAGCCACTTCAAAAGTGCACAATTTATATATTTATTAAAATAGGAGTCGCTGTCTGGAGTTAAGTATCTGAGGTTGCTCTGGAATAAAGAATACATTCAAGATTTTGCAGTAGAATGGGCTTCATTCACTGCATGTAGCAATGCCTGGATGAGAAATTGCCCAAGGCACGGCTGTTGTCTTGCCAGTAAGATGTAAACAAATGGCTTTAAAAATATCTATTGATATACCAAGTTGAAAAGTATGAATAACTGTCTTTATCTTGAGGGCTGAATTATGTCTTTAAGGCAAGCAATCAGTCCATTGTTTCCAGTTGAACTGTGACTGTTTGTTGTTTGAAACAACCATTCACCAGCCGTCACCATTGTTTCACAACACAGAAAAGACCTTACATTTTGAAGCTTTATTTGCTTAGTTTTCATAACGTCAAGTAGCCTATTATCGGAAATAATAAAAATGCATGTTTAGCTTCATTTAATTAAAGTGACTGTACCTGGCAAAGAGAGGCCACCTTCTCATCAGCATGGGCCATGGGGTGCTCTGTGAACGTGGTGTAGGGCATCTCTGTTGACCAGGGGTTCCAGCGATTAAAGAATGAAGCCCGGGGACGTTTGTCCCATTGGACACGAATCCCATAGCCTTCTCTTCTGTTTGACAATACAACAGTTTTAATAAGATTAGAATATCAGACAGCTGACGACATTCATGCAGCACAACCACAGAGATGGACCACAACGGTTTACAAAAGACATTTTGTAAGTTTTTACATTTTACTTCCGTGTGCATCAATTTGGAAACATTTTTTTTGTATGTATTTATTGCTATTTAAACAATTAAAAGACACATCATTCTGTTTTGCTAATATTAAAGGTTAATGTTGTAATGTTTACACATTTATTTATTAATGTAAATACTAATTGGCTGTTGACAAGCTGAAATTCTGACATACTTGTTGAGGGACTTGGGTGGAAACTCAAACTCGCCCACTGAGATGGTGTCCACAGCATTGAGAGAGATCCTGATTACTTGTTGACACAGCAGGTTAATGAAGTCATACTTGCACACCAACAGGGACCTGCACAGAACGTCAAGACAATGTTATTGGCTACCTGATATGCCTCATTAAATATTAGTCACTTAAAGATGAGGTATGATTCTGACTCACCTATCAGTTATCAGCACAAGTCTCTCCTTTTCGTTATTCCAGTGATCAATTCTATAGAAAACAATAGTCCACACAAGAGTTCATTTTTTATGCCTCCTGCCTGATAATAAACATGATGACGGGATACTTACTCAGCCAGCAGCCAGACACTAAGCACCTCTCCATCCTCGGACGGCAGTGCCACAGTCCTGATGTCGCTCACCGCCTGCTCAATGGTACCTGGCTGAGATCAGCATCACACAACCGTAAATCATCTGAGCCTCATCCTCCCTGTGATCTGTTACTGTGATTGTCACAACATGCTGCCCTGCACTGACGCCTATGGCTGGGGGTGGTCGTGTTTACTTAAAGGTACCTAAGCAGCGTACGATAAGTGCGAGCGGTTCATATATAAACAAACGGGCTTATCACCGCAAGCTGGAATGGATGGAGCAACTTACTCTGAACACGAAGTAGTCCTTCACTTTCGCTTGCATGGTGGGGTTATGCACATGAAAAGGCGTCAGCGTTTGTAACGGGGGACAGCAGGCCACGGAGGCGGCGTGTCCAAAGCTTCGTCCGGCCTCCGGCGGCGTGAAGGCAACCTCGACCCCCTCTTCGGTTTCTGCAGGGTGGAGAACCGCAGCGCCCGGACTCTCCGGCTCCATTGCGTCGTTGAGCTGAAGCATAATGAAACGTACGCGTTTCCCGGAGCTTCCCAACGATGTGCACCCACTGTAAAATCTAAAAATCTCCTCCCGACGATGCAGATTCACCCATTGCGCACAAATAATGTTGTGATTGTGGGGGTAACGAAGAAGTAGCTCCCCATTGCTTCACTTCCCCCGTTTAATTTCCTTCCTGTTAAAGGGACACGGTGTTTTTGACCCTTGTAATCACCAGTAAAAAAAATTTTTTTTAAATGAATTGGCTGGTTCCACTTTTTCATCATTTTCACTAGCATGATCCGTAAATGATCTAAAGTAATGTTATTGCCTAATTCTATTGACGTTATTATCATGTAATTATTAAATAACTGTACTGCCACTTGATATAGTATTCCTGAAGATGCTGTTCTTGTACGTTTTATATCAACGTTAAAGCCACAGCAACCTGGTAGTTATACTACAAGAATATTGTAATAAGATTCCTTTGGTTTATAATCTCCTGACCAGGTAAGTCTGGGAATAGCAAGGAAAAAAACTTCAAGTCAAAAAAGTCAAGTGCCTGTATTGTCATTTCAACCATGTGCAGTGGTACAGTACACAGTAAAAGACTATGGTGCTACATAACGGACAATCAACACAGGACTACATAAAGTGCAAGTGCACAAACATTGCAAAAAAACAAAACAAAACACAAAACAATACTGTGAAACACCAGTCAGAACAGAACCATAAAGACACAAGACAGTGCAATACAAAACTGCAACAACGACAGTGGGTTGTGCAAAAGACTGAGCATTGTGCAAAAAGTAACTTGATGTATGAAGTGTGTGTGTGTGTATGACATTGTTCAGTCTAAATCATTTGTAGAAGAGTTTTGCTGTAATAATATTTACATTTATAAGCTGTATCAAGAATAGTAAACTTCCTTTATATAAAGGTTTATTGAAAAAGCAGTGCGACAGCACTATTTAATCAAGCATTAAGCTTAATATTTAATCAAGGAAGTATTTAGTTTGTAATCTTGGACATTTTTTGATATTTACTCGTTCATGTTCATTTTTGGAAATTTCCTTGGT